TCTGTAAAACAGTATTGTTCTTCCCATTCCGAATGAAAGTGGTATGTCTTTACCTTCTTACAACTGCTTGCCATAATATTATTTTTTGTTGTTCTCTACTAACCCAACAGCTGGACGTTGGTTAAGCGTTCAGTTTTAAACTAAGCGCAATGTCGCCGCGCCGTGCGTATTTATCCCGTTCAAAGCAATCCTGATCGTTCTCGAACACTAACGCGCTGGTCCGGCTGGTCGGTTCTAGCCGATTCTAGCTTGATGGCGTCAGCGGTAGATCGCTCACCGCAACGTTGCCGCTGTTTATGTTTAATATTATGACAATTAGATTTTTTTGTGGAATTTTCGGAAGCTTCTCTGATTTTTGCAGTTTGTATTTTTTAAATTAAAATCGTTGTGAGAGCTACCAGAATTACCTCCGCGAGCTACCGGTAGCTTGCGATCGACAGGTTGGCAACCACTGCATTAGAACAACAAAAAAGAATATCTAACACATTAAGGATTTTGATTATTTATTATTTTTTTAATCTTATACATGTAATATTCAATTCAATTTACCTAACTAATTTATTCATTTTATTCTTAATCATAACATTTAAATCCGTTTGGAGAGAAGTTACAAGAATTGCTTTTAGTAGCACCGCTGAGATTGATTCCATTCCAATTCCAATTATTGCATCCTCCAGCTCCACAAAGAATATATACTCTTTGGGAATAAGGACCACCCAAAGTACCAGAAATGCCCTGCATAGTGAGCTGCTTGATTTTGATATTGCCTAATGGTTTGTGTGTGTCGCCATCATTTGTATAGTCTTGTTGTACGTTGATTCCGTAGAATGAAATACCTACAAATCGTTTTCAAGCATTAATTTTTATTTGGATTTAGGTTAGATTATTTATTAAGTTAATATGAACTACTTCTAAAATAACAAGGCTCTCAAATACTGATTATGTAAGGAAAGTTAATGGATAAACTAACAAATGTTAAACAATGACAATGCAAGAAACTAAAAATTAACATTTAAACACAAAAAGGAAGTATTCAAAATTAACAAGGAATAAAGAATAAATTATGGGTGTAGAGTTAAACAAAAAAAAATGAGATTAGATACAACATCAGAAAGTATCAAAATAGGAAAACATGAATTTGAAATAGTATAAAAACTATTCACTACAAATAAAACCTTCCACACAAATAAAAAAATATTTAAAAACGAATTACATAGAACACGAGAATGAAGGAAACATAATAATCAGACGCAGCAGAAAAAATAAGAATTACTAAGAATAAGGGGAAGAATTATGGAAAGATACAATTATAGAGCAATAAAGGGACCAATTTAAATCACAAAAGAAAAATACAGAATTAGAATAAATGAAGGAATTAAACAAAAGTTAAAAGGTATAACAAAAATTAAGCAATCTACGGTTAGATAGTTGGATACTTTCGAAATGTAGACATTTGGTTTATTCAATATTACAAAGGGATCCAGAAAGAAGCAGGAGACGTGGAAGATTTATATCAGAATAGTTGATGGAAGTGAAATATCATCTATGCAGAACAGAAGTGAATAATTTGCAAGAAAAAGTACAGGATAGATAAAGGAAAATGGAAGAACATTGTAAAGAGTATTATGTAAAAGATTGGTATATTTAAATATAAACTGTCTTACCTGAAAGTTTTATATTTTTATAAGTAACATCTGAAATCTCCCCCGTCTGAGGACCAGCGATGGTTTTGACATGGATACCAAGTCTTGAATTTTTAACAGCAGAATTTTGGAAAGTAACGTTATGAACAGTATTGAGAGCGTAAGTATTATACACACCAACTGCAATACTTAAACCATGTCCTCCTGTGCATTGCATGTTATCAAAAAGAAGATGTTGACCCTGGTTGACGCAGATGCAGTCATCTTGGTTCCAAACGCTGGTGTCTCTGATAGTTACTCTGTACGATTTTGCAATATCGAAACCATCGGTGTTAGCTCCTCCTTTCTAGATAAGAGCATTAAAAAAAATAAGATTTATTAAAAAATCAACTCAAACACAACTCGGTATCATCCGGTCTAATGGACCAAGCTTTAAGAATTATGGGGTAGAAGTTGAAGCATAGAGAAGTCAGTTGAGAGATGACAGCACTAAGGTTGTCCAGTTCCGAAATATAAAAAACAACCTCGTAGAATTAAGAAAAATAAAACTAAGCAATTAAGACAGTCTATTATAATTTGAAGATGTTACTAAGTATTTATCTTATTATTTACTAAACCACTGAAAGTTGTTATATTTGACATTAAACTCCATTATATAACTTTACTTTTGAATAAATTTATTACATACCAAAAGAGGAAATATTTTTAAAAATCATTTTGAATTTCTTCTTAGAGTTTTTAACAAATTGAAGATTTGTACATTGCAAAACTAATTATCTCTAGTGCGGCATCAATTTGAAAGATGCTGTTAATGTACAATGTAAATAGTAAGGGTCCTGATACTGTTCCCTGAGGTAGTCCAAACAATATACGGTAAAAAAAATATAGGAGAAAATGGAATAATATCACAAAAGGGTAGCATTGGAAAAACTATAATTTTACAGCTAAATATAAAACGGAAAACAAACTAATAAAATTTATAGAGGTGGAAAATATGTACGAAAATAATAAAAATTAAGTAAGTAAAGAGTATGTACCACATACCAATAAATATAAAATAAAAACGCAACAAAGATTGGCCAAAATAGATAATATTTAATATTGAACAAGTTTTACTTACTGTATCCCCTAATTTAGAATCGATATTCCAGTACTGCAAAGTCAAGTCATGCGAATCGGAGATTCCAATGCAAGTGTGTGGGCAATTTCTAACTTTGATATTTTTGAAGACTGAGCCGCCGGTGGCTTGGATGAGCATGAATTGAGGCTTCTTTTTGTTGCTGTGATCACCATGTCCGTCCCACCATTTCTCTCCTCTTCCGTCCAATAAATGAGCTAAAAATGAACGATAATGAAGGGCATACATGTTAAGCAAGTGTTTAACATGTGAATTATTAACCCCATCAAAATGGGTTACTGCTTTTTATTTTGCTAACATAATTGATTAAAATTGTCTATTGCCGACATTACGGAATGTTTCTTACTTGATGATCCTTGTACTGTAATGGCGTTTCCAGTGATCCACATCAATGGACCGTCCCACGGTATATAACCGAAATTTATGTTACCGTTAAAGGTTAAAGTGGTACCAGGTTGAAGTGCAAGTTTCAAAGTTTTTCCAGGCAATACAGAAAAACTGCCTACATAGATGTTTTTACAATTTGCAGTAACTGAAGCTACATCTTCGTATCTATTAATGTTACAACCGCTGTAACTGTCCAAAGCTGAAAAATACAATTATATGATTAATAAGAATCCTTAAATTGACAAAATATGAAATAAATTATATAAAAAGGTTGCTTTTTGAAAATATTATTTTAAAAAAAATTTAATGATGAAAATTTAGAAAGTTCCAACGGTATTCTATTTCTTAAGTTTATTAGTTGCCTTATGCTTCTTTTACTATCGAAATTTCTTGGAAATATTTAAAATAATGCTAATAGATTAAGTCTAGTATTCTCAACGTAATCTCCAACATTAAAAAGTTGGTCTTGAGAGTGTCCTATGAAAGGGTATGATATGAAGTTCTCAAATCTCTTGGGCATAACTCAGTGACCTAAGCAATGCAAACAAAGACTATTGCGCTCTAATCCAGACTCAAAATAAAATAGTTTCGGGATATATTATGACATGCTCATCAATACAGATAGCAGGCAAGCACTACTCACCCTGAACAAACCACGAATTTATTCAGGATTGGTACTAGAATGCTCCAAAGCTTTGGTCGAAGTATGCATCAACAATGTGGTCACCTTAAGATGGATCCAAGATCACATTATTACGAAAGGTAATCG